TTTTTGCTTTTTGCACCAAGACATTATAAAAGCAGCAACCAAAAGGAGGAAAAAAAAAAAGAGTCAGTGAACAGCTTGTGATGCCAGCGCCATCCAGCATCCTGACACATATTGCAGATAATAGTGAGAATATCTATAGCTTGTTGTATTTGATGTCACATCACTTTGTTTACACTATCCTTTGGGGTGTTTATAGCATGAAGATTGTCTTTCACTACCCTGAGCTTGAGTAATTTCTTTAGTCAATAAAATTTAAAAAGGGCATCCCATATTCTATAGAATGACTGTATTTATTTTACAAAGAGGTTGTAATTTGTGGTGCTTGTCTGCCTTCAGCTATGACCTCCCCTGGCTTATTGAATCAGTCTTTGATTATGTGTCCATTCTTTTGATTTCGTTATTTAGCTATGCATTATTTTGCAGCTCTTATGAGCAAAGGTGGGTGGGTGGGGCTGTGGAAAAAGCCCTAAGACTGAGAAGAACTGGATTCTTATCTAGACTGCTGTCAGATTGCTGTGCTGTGTTGGGCAAACTCCTGTCCCTTTCTGAACCTCAGTTTTCTGAGCTGTAGAATCGAAGTTTTGGACTAGGTGATGGCTAAGGTCCTTTCTATATCTGATACACTCTAATATCCTAAGCAATTCCTGAAACATTTTATTTTTTTGAAGCCAGAGCTTTTGTCAATACATTTTGACAGTACTACCTCGGGTTTATGAGCTTCTGCTATGGCAAAATGGGCTGACTCCACATATTATTGAAGAACACTGCCCCAAATTTAATTATCTTGGGAGATCACTACCACATAGGATAAAATGAGCCATTTTGTTCACCACTGCAGCCTTTGCTGAAATGGAGGTTATGGGATAACAACTTAAAGGCTAACTCATTAATGCTCAGGGATGAGTGAGGTAATGTGCCAGCAGACCAAATTGGTGCCCAAATGTTTTCATCTAGAGACCCGTATCTCTTTTCCGTGTTGTGATATATTAATGGGGATGTCTTTATCCATTGTCACTGCCCCTAGACATTTGAATAACACAGATGCATTGCCTTCTGGGCACCCAACCCTGCTCACTATCAATTTCTCAAACTCTGAGGAGCTCGCAGAGGCTTGGAGCAAAATTCTGATGGTGCCATAAAGTGCTTAATTTATAGGGATTCAAACGATGGCATCAGTGCAGTCCCTGCTTTTTTTCTCATAGGAGTTTGTTATTGAGCACTGCGCCACCCCTAACTATTTGATGGGGGCAATGGAGTAAATTAGTCCTCTAAATTGTGAGGGCTGTGGATTTATGCCTAGCTGAAAGCATTTCTGTCCTCGCAATGTCGGAGCGGGTGACCTTTCTGACGTTAATTTGTTTCTCCATCTGTGCCATGCATTTTGGGAGGATGTGAGGAACAGGCTTGATGCCACTTATGTGGGTTTCCCCTTTTTGTATTGTTGGAGACTTGATCTGGGTGTCCCTCTGCTCTTTTTTCAAATTCTTTCTCTGGGTATCTGCTTATATGCTGGCCCCTTTACTGATGCAAATTAAATTATATATTCTTTTGCTAGTAACAATGTATAATTGAATGGTTTGGAAGAGAAATAAACTTGGAGACAGATAGGCATTTTACTCACCTGAATAATAGCATTTGAAAAAATGACCTATGCAGTTAGTTATCTAAATTTTATAAGACCACTTTTTTATACTTGACCCTGATGCAAATAGAGACTGGAAAAGAAAGATCTATTCTCAGTGGTCTCCCTAGACCTCTTTACCTGTTTTAATTTAATTCAAATTCAGTAGAAATTGAAAAAATTTGAATTTTATGTAATGACTTTGGAAGCCAGATATTTTCTAGTAAACCCAAGTCCTCTGCAAAGAAACTTCACAACCAACATGTTTATTAAAAACCAGTACTAACGACCACACATAGATTTTTCATTTAACTGTCACATTTCCCCATTTTATAGAGTAGGTCACAGAAGCTCAGACAATTCAATTCATGTTCCTAAGTTCACACTAAAGAAATCATAAAGTTTGTCTTCAAACTCAGTTCTGGTTATCTCTAATTTCAATGACCACTGCAGATATTTATCTAGGATATAGATTTTGCAAATTTGTTGGCTTCTAGGCCAAAATCTAGAGGGCTTGCTTTCAGCTTTATGTCTCTTTATGATGTCATGGTCACTTCAGGCCAGTGCTGTGAACTGCTGAAGGAGGTAGGGAAGACATGGTGAAAGCAAGAGAGGTCTTTTTAGCCCCTTCTTCCCTAGTAAGAGCTCCCTTTTGTGGCCTGCCCACTTGTCTTTCCTCCCCGGTGGGCCACTTGTTTTTTGCCTGGACACACTGGCCTTCCTAACTCTGCGTCTGTCCTGGATGCTGCTGGTGCCTTGAGAGAGTTGAAGGCAAGCAGGACAGTGTCAATTTTGCTGGCAGAACTGCAGCATATGATTGCTCTTAAGTTTAGCCCTATATCTTTGAACATGAGGCAATGACAAATGTTTATTCTAAGGCCTTTGATTTCCTTCAGAATTGTAAGCATCTAGGCTGACTCATCTCTCAAAGGCTTTTCTCTCTCTCTTTTTTTGGCTGGTGTTGTTTTGCGATTTTCTTATTTGTTCCTACCTTATTTTTTGGAGGAAGGATTGATTTTCATTTTGATTTTTGGGTGAAGGAACCAGCTAGGCTCTGTGGATGACCAGATCTGGTAACCTCAATAAAAAAAGATACTGCTGCAACTCTAAGACAGGTAAAAAAGAAAAAAAGTTTGAATTGGGCTAAGGGAAGATGGGAGCTATATTAGAAAAATTAAGCCAGAACTAGGCTATATGGGTGAGACCCCCAGAGATATCTAGAACTGCTATCATGGGTATGGGGGGGCACTGGGGGCTTAGCCTGGGACTGTGCTTAGGTGGTATGTCTGTGCTTTTGGTTAAACTGATCACTTTGTGTTGCAATTGGATGCTTGTGCTCAGGCTTTTACTTTGGCTTCAGAGGATGGTGCTTTGCAGTTGAAAAATTTTTAAAGAATCCATGCTAAGGATTTCCCTTTTAGCTCAGTTCAAAAGCAGTGGGATGACTCCTCACTCTTTCTCAATACTGCACTTCAGTGATCCAGCATTTATTTCTGACATGTGTGCTTCGGTCATTAAGGAGAATGGGGCAAATATAGTTTTGGAAACAAAAGAAGGGTGGGATTATTTGTTTTGGACATAACTCATGTATATACATTATTGTATGACAACCCCTTACCTACTTATATTCTGTTAAAGCCACATTACCTGATCTTTGGAATTTAAGCCCCACCCAATAATATATAGAATATTGTATAAAATTCTCTAAGAGGGGGAACTCAGTGGCAATGCCATCCCTCTCCTTGTCCAAGGTTTAATTCCCCAAGTCCCAAATTATCTTCTGTCAGGAACCAGCATTCACACACCCACCCAAGCACAAACTTCAGAGCTATCCTAAATCCTCTCCATTCCAATAAAAACAATCCCCTAAGTCCTTTCAGTTCTTCCTATAAAATCCATTCCCTGCTCCAGCCCCAGTGACAAGGACTTGTGTCAGCAACTCTTGCTTTTTGGGTGATCTACCCATCTAGCCTGCTTCAGGCTCTCTACCCAAACCAGGCTTCTCACTGCTTTCTGTGATTTTTCCAAGCTGCAGTTTTGACTCTGTCATTCCCTGCTTAAAACCCTGCAGTAGTTCCCTATTGCCTTCAGGAGAAAGTCCAGCTTCTTAACATGGCTTACAGGGCCATTCATGACCTCATCCATCCAGATTTATCTCCTTCCATCCCCTTTGTACAGCTTTAAGGATATAGCAACCTCTCTCCCATCTCCTTGTCTTTGCACAAGCTGTTCTCATCCTCTGGACTGCCCCCCCCCTATCTCCAGGCAGACTTAGATGTTTCCTCCTTTCTGTGCTCACAGTACTTTGTTTATATCTCAACTGATTGACTTATCACAAGGTTTAGTAAATTGTTGCTAACCTGCGTATCTCTTTGACTGTGCTGTTAAATCCTTTATGAAAGCAGTAGTATTATCTTGCTCATATTTGAGTCTTTAGTGCCTGACACAAAATGAGTAATTAATGCACTTTTATTTTTTTTGTAATGAATAAATGAATGAATAGAAGTGAGAAAAGAAAGGATGTTGTGTGGGGTGCAGGGAGATCCCCACTAGGGGATCCTGTGCAGCCTGGGAGCTGTATGAGATATTGAGCACCATGGAGAAGGGAGGTAGAGCAGGTTTGCCAGTACACTAAGATAAACTTCATTCTGATCACCAATCCTCAGTAGGGAATTCACTAGAAATGGCCTGGAAATGATGTTTTGGTACAACTGTTTTTTTTTTTTTAATGGAAAAAATTAACTTGATCTAGTTGTGCAGTTTTGGTAAAAATTAAAACAATTCTGCATTTTTGTGTATTTGTTGTTTAAAAACTCTTTGTAAACATCACTTTAATGATTGTATGCTTTACATATGGGCATCTTACAATTTGTAAATCTAGTCTCATTGCTGGGCTGCTTTTTATATTAATTTTTTTTTTTACGATTATGGTTCATATACCTCAGTGTGTGTGTGTGTGTGTGTGTGTGTGTGTGTGTGTGTGTGTGTGTGTGAAGATTTCATTAGGATAGATTCCTAGAAGGGGAATTACTGGGTCAAAGGGCCTAGGGATGATTTTTGGCTCCAGACTTATGTGCCCAGCTTGCTATCTGGAAGAGTTGTACAAACTGACAGTGTTCCTAACCTAGATGAAAATGCCTACCTCACCCAACCTGGATAGCATCAAGTATTATCATTAAAAAAATAAAAATAAACACCAATATTCTAATTAACTAATGGAAAATATTACCTTATTTTTGTCTTAATGTGCATTTTTAAATTGTGAGAAATGTTGGTCCGTTTTCTTTTCTTTCCTCTTTTTTTTTTCCTAATTAGGTTTTTCTCTTTTCTAGACTGTTCAGGGCTGGATTTTTTTTAAAGTTGGATTTTTTTTAATAAGCAACCAGAGGCAGCTCTGCTGGAGGGTGAAGCCGCCTCCCAGTTTTCCCTCCCCCTTATCACCCTCCCCCACCCCCCCCCAGTTCCCTCCACCGGGTCCAGTGACAATTGGATGATGCAGTCTTGATAATCATCCGATTCCAGAATGGGTGGCTGCATTCCTTTTCTGAGGGCAGCCAGGACATTGTGCCCCAGAATCATGCCCCCTTTGCTGTTGTTGTCCGCCTTCATTTTTTTAGTGAACGTCCTGGGAGGAGCACCAGGACACAACCCGGACCGCAGGACGAACATGATATCAATACACAGTCTCTCCGAGCTGGAGCGTCTGAAGCTACAAGAAACTGCTTACCAAGAACTCGTGGCCAGACGTTTCCTCTCTGAATTCAAACCTGAGAGAGGTGAGCAGTACCCCGGAGTGTGGCGTCCTTGCCTTCGGGCGAGTGGACCCCCGGGCGGGACGCGGCGCTTTGGGGGTCCAGGGGAGTGGGAGGGGCTCGGGCAGGTCTCAGACCTGCTGGGTTCTCCTTGCGCCTGGGGAACTGAGCCGGCTGGAACGGAGGGAGCCGGCGGTTGAATTGAGGAAGAGGTAAAGATGAGTTGAGTTGGGTTGACTCTGGGGGCTTGAGGGGCGGTCAGACAGACAGGCAGTTCTCGGGGACGGGGAAGTGGACGGAGGACAGGTGGAGAGATAGACGCACCAGGTGCGGTGCGAGAACCGGCCAGAGCGAGACCGAGGCGCAGAGAGGTACTCTGGGAGAGGACCGGGACAGAGACAGCGCGGTTGAGAGACGGAGAGTAAAGAGAGATAGCGAGACAGTGAGAGAGAGAGACACGCGCCAATCCCGGCAGAGAGCGGGAGGGCGGTGCGGGCGCCTGGAGCGGAGGCAGGAGGTGCGCTGGGAGCGCTTCCCACCTCAGCTGGCTGCAGGGGAGCGAGCCGGACCGGGCACCGGACGGGGTTCGAGCGTGCCAGGGGGTCTCTGGGGTGCGGGTGCAGGTCGGGCTGCTGAGGGGAGGCGGGAAGGGGTCGCGCGGACTGAGGGGCGTCCCTGCAGTCATGGAAAGCGCAGGGGCGGCAGGGTTTGCAGGGTGCGCGCAGCGGGCACAGCCTGAAAGGAGCTAAGGCAAGAGCTGGGAGACCCCGCAGGCGGCTGCGGCTGCGGGGTCTGAGCGCGGGGACCGCGGGTATTTGCAGCTTCCCCAGCCGCAGCGCGGTGAGCAGACGGCATCCCCGGTGTGCGCGCGTCCGCAGTAACTTGGCGACCCCTACTCGCTCGTGTTGGCGCCGCAGGCACAACCCCTCCCTCGCCTGTTGCACAGTCCCAGCGCCTCAAAGCCCCCGATTTCTTGCTGTAAGAGTTGTGTTGAGCTACTACTGGTGCGTAGCAAGATGCGCTCTGCGCACGCAGAGCCTCAAAGTGTCTGGTTTGGTTAAATCTCTTAGGTGGTAGATAGGACTGGTCCCATTGTCAAGTGGGGAAACTGAGGCTGAGAGAGGCAAATCACTTTTTGTGGACTGGATTGAGCTGTTGGTCTCCCCCTCCCCCACCTCCCCAATTCACCCCCATCATTGCAGATCAATGCGTTGCGATGTTTCAGTCACTTATCAAATTCTGTTTGGGTGAGTGTGCGTGTCTTTTCTCTTTCTTTTCCCGTAGCTCTACCTATTGACCGTCCAAACACCTTGGAGAAGTGGTTTCTGATTCTGAGAGGACAAGAGAGGGGTGAGGGTCTCTCATACTTTACTTAGGAAAGAAATAGAAACGCAGCCCCCCCTCCCCCAGTATTGGTCCCAGGCTACTGGAGGCTGGGCGGCGTTCAGTGCCCCTGGGGGTACTCACCCCCTCCTAGAAACCCCGTAGGGGATGATTTCAGGAAATGGCGCACTAGCTGCTGGCGTATAGGGAGGGGGCGGGGGTGAGGCCCCATCAGATCTGCCTAAGTCTCCCGGGTGAATCCACCCCAGGCATATCGCCCTGGAGAAATTGCCCACTTTACTTCAAGGTAGTCACCCCCCGAACAGGACTTAAGGCAGGGATCTTGGGCTCCGTCGGGGTGGGGGAGAGGTACTGAGTCCTTCCGCCAAACCGCTGCAGGGTCTTTTCGGCTCCCTCCCCAGGGAGGGGCGCTGCGGGTCTGGAGGGGTGGGGTTGGCTGCCAGCGGCGGCTCAGAGTGGTACAGCCCCTGCAGTTCCTCCTGATTTAAGCGCTGCGGAGCTTTGACGTTTCTCATTCTTTCTCTCTCTGGCTCCCCAGCCGTATCACTGAAGACGTTTGGCATTCGTCTGGAAGAGGTGCTGGTGAATGAGCTTACCCGCCGCAAGCATCTGGAACTAACAGCCGCGATGCAGATTGAAGAAGCCACCGGTCCGGCTACGGGACGTCGTCGTCGTCGGGGAAACGTGGTTCAACGGATGTTTGGCCGCATCAGGCGCTTTTTCAGCCGCAGACGGGCTGAGCCCACTCTGCCCCGGGAGTTCACTCGCCGTGGTCGTCGAGTGAGTTAAACTTTCTGGGTTTCATCTGGGGGTCTTTGCTAAGGAGTGCAGGGGTGTGGGGCGGTAGGGTCGGGTCCTGTGCCCTTAGGGAGAGAGGGTTCGAACAGAATAGTTTGGCAGGATGTAATTGGAGAGAATGTTTCCTGTTGTGAATGTGACGCAGTCCTGGAGAAGGTCCGAAGAGACCCTCCTGTTGCCCATTTTAAGGTTATCTGGCTGTCTTTACAGGGTGCAGTATCTGTGGATAGCCTGGCTGAACTGGAGGATGGGGCCCTGCTGCTGCAGACCCTGCAACTTTCCAAGATTTCCTTTCCAATTGGCCAGCGACTTCTGGGGTCCAAAAGGAAGATGAGCCTCAACCCGATTGCTAAACAAATCCCCCAGGTTGTTGAAGCTTGCTGCAGTTTCATTGAGAAACATGGTAAGGTGACCCCAAATGATGGTTAAATCAAACTAGGAGGCAATTAAAGGAAAAGAACCGCGCAGTAGAGAGAAAAATGTGGTGGTGGGGGGCGGGGAGGTAATGAAGGGCTTGGAACATTCTCTGGCTACCAGTTGGGATGGGGATGCAGTAGGGGAGGAAAAGGGAAATTCCATAGGGAAGGGCACTGAATATACTTAACACCTTCTGGTCTTTTCTTTCAGGATTAAGCACGGTGGGGATTTTCACTTTAGAATACTCTGAGGAGAGAGTCCGTAAGGTAAATTGGTTGTGTTTACACTTTTCTTCTTGAGAAAAAGCAGGTGGGCTTGAGGGCTCCCTCATAGACCTGAGGGGAGACCAAGGTCTTCTTTTGAGCCCCACTCCCCCTGGCACACCACACATCTAGATCCCTCCACTGAAGCCTGAACCTTACTACAGTAGTGGCTGGGGGTTATGGGGGGGGAAGGGGTGCCTGTACTGGCAGGGCACACAGTCCATATATTCTCTCCCTTCTTCTAGCTGCGTGAAGAATTTGATCAAGGTCTGGATGTAGTGCTGGATGACAATCAGAATGTGCATGATGTGGCCGCACTCCTTAAGGAGTTTTTCCGTGACATGAAGGACTCTCTGCTGCCAGATGATCTCTACATGTCTTTCCTCCTGACAGCAAGTGAGTCTTCTGTTCTCCTCTGTCAGGCAAAGGAAGGAAATAGTACAGGGGGGTGCAAGGGTCTAGGAACAGAGGTCAGGCTGCACTACCCCAAAGAACGAAGACAGAACGCATATAAAAAGGAAAACACACAAACATAAAGCAATAGGCAAATACTTTATGTAGTCTTAAAAATGAAAACATATCAAATAAAAATTATTTCAACCAAAAGAAAAGTTGAAATTACCTCTCCAGATTACTTTTGTCATATCTCTTAATAGTTCAATATAAATCTGTTGTTGGGAAATTTTCCCAGAGCTTCCTGAAGCGGTGTGTGCCCTCTCAAGGGCAAAGAAGAACCTTTTAGAGGGGGTCTGATATTGATGAGAGCACCTCTTCTTTTAGGACTCCTGAGCCCCGATGCTTTGGGCATAGACACTTTCTAACTTTCAGCAGTTTTCAAACAGAATCCTGTCTCTCTTGGTATCAGGCTGCTACCAAGGGCAGCCCCCTGAGCCGGGCCCCATTTTCCTTCCTCCAGCTCTGAAGCCGCAGGATCAACTTTCTGCCCTGCAACTGCTGGTTTACCTGATGCCACCCTGTCACAGTGACACCCTGGAGCGTCTGCTGAAGGCCCTGCATAAGATCACTGAGAACTGCGAGGACTCCATTGGCATTGATGGACAGCTGGTACAATGCCCTGGGAGAGGGTAGTGAGGGCTGTAGTAGGGGACATGTGTGGGAGTAGAAGAGAGGGAGACAGCCAGAGGGAGAGGGAAACAAGTACAAAAAGGCATTTCTTTTTGAACAACTTCCATTACTAACTCATACTCTAATATTACTTTCTGTTTGCCTTTTACCTAGGTCTTTGGCAACCGGATGACTTCTACCAATTTGGCCTTGGTGTTTGGATCTGCTCTTCTGAAGAAGGGGAGATTTGGCAAGAGGGAATCCAGGAAGACAAGGCTGGGGATTGACCACTATGTTGCTTCTGTCAATGTGGTCCGCGCCATGATTGATAACTGGGATGTCCTCTTCCAGGTAGGTAGAAGTTTTGGATACATTTATTTCACAGCTCTCTCTGCTGTTCACAAGCAGGGGAGAGTTGTATGCGCATCCCTGACGGTAACCAAAGCAGGCTGCTGCAAAATCTCCCATTCTCATTAGCTGGTCATGGTGCCTTCACTCCTGGGCACCTGATAGAGATGAGTATAAATTTTAAAATGTTGTGTAATAAAGGCTCATGTTGCTAATTTTGCCCTCAGGTACCTCCCCATATTCAGAAGCAGGTTGCTAAAAGGGTGTGGAAGTCCAGTCCCGAGGCCCTTGATTTTATCAGACGCAGGAATCTGAGGAAGATCCAGTGAGTGTTTTCTTGGTTTGTTTATGCTTAGCCTGAAGCAGAATCTCCTCTGGGGGTTTCTGGTCCAAGACCACCTTTGTGTTAGTTAACCCAAGTATACAAACTGACTGACTTTTTAAAATTCATTCCCATTCAGGAGTGCACGGATTAAGATGGAGGAGGATGCTTTACTTTCTGATCCAGTGGAAAACTCTGCTGAAATCCGGGCTGCTGTCCTTGCTCAAAGCACGCCCTTTGATGAAGGTCAGTTCCCTGCTGGAGGTCAGGCCCTTGCTGAAGGTCAGGCCCTTGCTGAAGGTCAGTCCCTTGGTGAGGGTCAGGCCCTTCCTGAAGGCCAGGTCCTTGCTGAAGATGAGCCTCTTGAGGAAGATGAGTCCTCTGAGGAAGATGTGTCAGTCAATGAAGAGCTAGTATTTGAATATCTCAATCAAGGAGTAGTCTTTGGGGAAGTCCAAGGTCTCGAGATCCCAAATGATCTTGAGATTCAAGGCCCACACCTTGAAGGCATACCAGAACTTGATGAAGATGATGATGATGATGACGATGACGATGACGACGACGATGATGATGACGATACCCTGAATTTTGATGATCTTCCTCCCCTTGAGGATATTCTAGAGCCTGATGATGAAATTCCAGAACTCATTGAAATCCCAGACTTTGATGAAATACCATATTTTGATATAGTCCCAGAACCTGAAGAAGGCCCAGATGAGCAAGAAATCCCAAATCCTGGAGAAAACCCAAACCATGACCTTGAAGAAGGACCAGATTTTGAAGACGGCCAAAATCTTGACCTTGCAGAGGTCCCCTATCTTGACATCGTCCCAAACAACGATGATGCCTCAAATGCTGATGAAATTCCGGACAATGCACATGCCTCAGATAATGACGAAAACCCAGATTCTGAAGAAGACCCCAATCTTGAAGAGGTTCCAGCCCTTGATGAAATCCCAAATGATGAAGAAATTCCAGACCACGAAGGTAACCCTGAGGTCAATGGGATTTCAGACTCTGAAGAAGACCTCGACTTTGAAGAAGTTCCAGCTCTTCATGTAGTTCCAAGTCCTGAAGAAGTCTCTGGTGATCATGAAATCCCAAATTATGATCACTCCCCAGAAATTAATGGACTTTCAGACTCTGAAGAAGATCTTAATCTTGAAGAGGTTCCAGCACTTGCTGGAATCCCAAATGATGCAGAAACCTCTGATGCTGAAGAAATTACAGACCACGAAGAAACTCCAGAAGTAAATGGCGTTGCAAACTCTGAAGAAGACTCCAACCCCGAAGAGGTCCCAGCTCTCCATGTGGTAACCAGCCCTGAAGACATCCCCGATTTTGATGAAATTCAAGATGAAGAAGAATCTTCAGATGTGAGTGAGGTCTCAAGCAACGAAGAGACCTCGGATGCTGAAGAAATCTTAGCACATGAGGAAGCATCGGAAGTCAGTGAAATGCAGGGCTCAGAAGAAAACTTCAGGGCCTCATACCCTGAGGATGCTGACATTCACACCGAAATGCCAGATTCTCAGAAAGACCGAGCCAGTGCTTTTGAAGAAGAGGACGACAGCAATGTGGCTCCAGAACTGGAAGATGTCTCCATTCTCAACACAATTCCAGACCCTCAGCCCGACCTGGCCCTCAATCTTGAAGAAATCATGAATGTGGAAGCAGTTCCAGTGCCTAATGACGTTGACCCTAAAGAAGTTCAGAATCCATCCTGGCTCTATAAGGAAGACACAGGTGCTGTAGATACCACCCTCCTTAAAAATCAGTCTCAGCCTGTGCAAGTCATGGACTACAAGTCCTTCCCAGAACCCCTGAAGAATGACACCTGCTTTCTCCCCTCCATGAAGTGCTGTAAGCTTCCGGCTCCAGCTTTGTTACTCATTTGCTTAGTAAAACTGGTCAGGTTAGTTATGGGGTGGTGGTGGTTGTTAGGAGGTCGTCCTGATCCCCGCCTTGCAGGTGGCATCGTCCATTTGCTCTAAACGCTGAGTGTCTGTCGCTTTCTGTTCTCTAACCCAGTTTCCTCCCCCAGCTTCCACCGTGGGCCTTGACTTGGAGATCTATATTCTGTTGTTAGGCTGCAGTTTCTTACATGTCAAGTGGGGATAATCACTCCTGCCTTACCTTCTTGCTTCATACTTGTGTTTGAAGTTCAAAATTCGGTCATAGTTCCTTGGGTGCTGTGCAAAGTCTGAGATCTAGAAACATAAGGAGTTAACATTGTTACTATTTTCCAGGTTCCTCTGAGGAGCCAGCTGTGCCTCCCGGCACTGCCCGTTCCCATGACGATGAGGAAGGAGCGGGTAACCCCCCCATTCCGGAGCAAGACCGCCCATTGCTCCGTGTGCCCCGGGAGAAGGAGGCCAAAACTGGCATCGGCTACTTCTTTCCTTAGATGTTCTCCTTCTATACAGTGCCGGACAGGGGAAAAGGGTGGGGGTAGACCTGGGATGTCACAGGAAACATTCAGGAGAGTCTTGAGGGTGCTGAGGGTAGAAGGAGTTCCACCTGATGCTCGGGTCAGGCTGAGAATTCCAAACACACTGCCAGCCCCTTCGTGGGGGAAGCTCGGTCCTTCCAGCTGGTTAAAGCAGAGATGTTTCTGTGTCATGCCCAGGCTCCCTGGTGCTACCTTGCCTTTCTCTTTTACCCCTGATCCTGGCTTTCCCTCAGTACAGCCCTCCCTTTAATTGATGTGACATTTGTGGTAAACACCTGTCCCAGAGAAGCTCACAAATCTCGAGGTGCTTTCCCTCCCCCAAAGGGGATTGCATGTTTTTCCTGACTTTCCTACCCTCCTCCCGAGAGCTCAATTGGCAAGGCCCTCAAGAGGCATGCTAGGACGTTAGGTCAGCCCCCTGACAGCTGACAAACAATTAATGCTAAACCATGTCACACCAACTCATAGCCGTGTCCCCGCAGCAACTCCACGTCCTCAGGATCTTTCTTTTTCCAAATTATTTAGACCAACGGCTCGTCAAACAGCCACTCCCAAATTTCTGTGCAGTTTTGCTCAGGTTACGCCAACAGGGAAACCTCTAGTGTAAGCCTAACTAGTTTTCTTGGGTCAAAAGTTAGAGGACAAATTTGGTTTTATTACCTAGATCTGTTTTACAGACAGCTGGCGTTCACACCCTGTTGTCAGCAAAACATCTAGTTAGGTAAGGACACATAGTTCCAAGTAGTTAAAGTCACCTGATTATAAATGCTCTTCTCTATCGTCTCTGTAGCTCCTCTATGCAGGACGGTACCAATTTGCGGGACATGCTCTGGTAACACACAGATATGGGTTATGTATGACATCCAAAATTCTAGCTGATATTGATGGGTAACAACTGCTAAGGTCCATAGAATGAAGAATGTATTGTATTGAGGGATAGAAATTGATCACACAATGGGTAACAACCGCAGAGCTCGAAGATTTGTGATTGTTCAAACTTCTCTGGCATTTAATCATTAATAAACATCTGTATTGTGACAGCAGCATATTCATGGCTTATGGTGTGTGTTTTTTTCTTCATTTGAAAATTTTGTGGGTGAGTTGGGAAACATTGGAGCTGAAGGGGAAAAAGAGGTGGGCAGGAGAAATCAAGGAGAGGGGTGATGTGAAATAAAGGGGGGAAGACATGGTATAGAGGGGTGGGGAAAGTACAATAAATGGGAGGGATGATACAGATTAATGCAATAGCAGCGGAGTAAAGGGGAGGGGTGATTAGAATAAAGAAGAGGGGGTGATATGAAAAAGGGATGGGGGTGTGGAAAAATTGGTAGGTTAATGTGGGAAAAAGGGAGGTGTGGTGGGGAATAAACAAAGGGTGATACAGAATAAAGGGGGTCACTGAATAAAGGGGAGGGGATATGGAATAATGAAGGGAAGGTGGTGATGGGGAATAAGGAGGACAGAGGGATGTGGATAAAGAGTAGCTGATAGTGCATAAGGGGAAGGGGTGAGGCAGGCATGGGGAGGGGTCAGGTGGGATAAAGAGGAGCCAGCGAGATAGAAAGGGAGCAAGATGCAGAATAAACAGAAGGGCTGATGGGGGATAAAGAGGAAGGTGATGGCAAATAAGGGTGAGGGGCATGTGGAATAAAGGGGAGAAGAGGGGACATAGGAGTAAAGGGGAGGGGTGATGGGGAGAAAAGGGGAGGGCTGATGGGGGATAAAGGGGAGGAGTGTTGGGAAATAGGGGTGAGGGGCATGTGGAATAAAGGGGAGGGGTGATGGGGAGTAAAGGGGAGGGTGATGAGGAATCTAAGGAAATGGTGATGTGAGAATAAAGGGGAGGGGGGATGTTGGAGAACAAAGGGAAGGGGAGACATGGGTTTAGAGCAGGGGTGATGTGGGATAAAGGAGAGGGGTGAATGGGGAATAAAGGGAAGGGGCTATGTGGGTTAGGGAAGAGGGGTGATGGGGATTAAAGTGAAGGGGTGATGGTGAATAAAGAGGTCAGTGTCCAAAATAGATGAACAGATAAAAAGGTTGTGGTATATTTACAGAATGGAATATCACTCAGTGATCACAAAGACAAAGTCAGGCCAACTGTGGCAGCATGGATGGAGCTGGAGGGGATTAGCCAGAAGAAGTCAGGTGGAAAAAACAAATATTAGGTGGTCTAATGTATATGTGGAATGTAGAGAAATCAAGCCAAAGGGCAAGAAAAAGCCAAAAAAACGAGCAAGCTGGCGATAGAACTGAGGCAGACAGCAGGGGAGACGGAGGGAGGGGTCCCCACAGGGGAGCGAAGAGCACAGGGAACATGGTGATGGTGCACGGGTGTTATGGTGGTGGGAGAACTATGGGGAATACAACGATGTAAGAAAAAATAATTTCCTTAATTAATAAAAAAGGGGAGGGCCTCCCCAGTGGTGCAGCGGTTGAGCGCTGGGTTGCAAAGCTGCCCGCGGCCTCTGCGGCGCCGGTTCGATCCCTGGCTGCTCCCGGCCACTGGAGGAGGGTCCCACATGGCGCGCAGACCTCTCCTGCCGCCCGCTGCTCCCCTCAGCAGTGTACTTCGGTCCTTCTGCCTGCTCTGCTCCCCACTCTGGCTCTGGTGAATTCTCTCACCCTCCCGCGCTTCTGACTGTACCCAGTGCATGTATAAAGAAAAACAAATAAACAAACAAACAAATAAATAAATAAAACATGCCTCTATAAAAAAATAAAATAAAAAAGGGGAGGGGCGAATGGGCACTAAAGGGGAAGGATGGTGTGGGAATACAAGGGAGGATTGCAGGGCATAAGGGTTAGAGTGGAATGGTGATGTAGAAATAAAGGGGAGGGTTGATGAGGAATAAAGGGGCGGAGTGATGTGGGATGAGGGTTGGAGAGAAATGGAATAATGGGGAGCAGTGAGGTGGACTAAAGGGGAGGGAGTGATGTGGGATAAAAGAGCAGCATTTGCAGGAATCAAGGGAAGGGGTGATGTGCAATAAAGGGGACACGGTGATGTGAATAGAGTAGGTTATGGGGAATAAAGGAAATGCATAATGTGGAATAAAGGGAATAAAATGGAGTAAAGTGGGAGGTCTGTAATTTATTTATTTTTTATTTTAAAGATTTATTTATGCATACAAGAACTGAGGCACAGGCCAGAGTTGTGGGGGCTGAGAGGGTCCGCCAGAGACAGAGTGGGGAACAGAACAGGCGGATCGACTGAAATACACTGCTGAGGGGAGCAACAGGCAAGTTAGGAGAGGTCTGCTGTGCCATGTGGGTAGCTCCCTGGCTGGGGATCGGACTCGTGCTGCAGTGGCTGCGGACAGCCTCATAGGTTGCATCTTAACCCCTTGTGCCACCAGGGAGGACCAGGAGGTCTGTAATTTAAAACAGAGAAGGGAAAGGCTGTATTAGAATAAAGGGCTCATGGGGGATGAAGAAGAAGCAAGCACAAGGAAGGAAGCTACTGAGGGGGCTTCTAAGCAGGAGAGCAGAGGGAGAGATTACAGGAGTTTACAACTGAGAAATTCTTTGTGTATTGGAGACATGTGGAAAGTTAGAAACATCTGGATCAAAATTCAGACAGGACTTCTGACTGCCATTCCAGGACTTTATGGGGTCAAAACTAGTAAAATGTTTCAGGATCAGTTTACCTGTGCTTTTACTGCTTGGTTTAAAAACCAACAAATGAACCCCGTAACAAATGTGGGAATGTAGATTGTTTCAAAATATTCCCTTCACTTTCTGGCCTTACCTGAAACCAGTTTTCTCCTGATCTTACTGCTTCCATTATTTTCCGTTATGTTTCTCCCGAGTGCTGACATGTCGTGTTGGAACTAAGAATGGTAAGTGGGTGTGGGGGTTACCCTCACTCTTCCCCATGCTATGAGGACCAGTTCAACAAGCTTACTTGACATTTCAAGTCTTGTCTTCATCCTCTGTGACTTCAGTCTCTGTGTGGGGAAGAACCATCCCATACATCCTGGCCTCATCTCCCTGCCTTTTAACTCCTTTTGGTCCTCCCTACTCACTTGGCCTCACTGGGTATGGGCCTCAATTCTAAAAGACTCAACTCCAATATGCCCTTTTGATTCAAACCTGCCATTTGGCCTCATTGGGGTGCCTGATGCCTCAAGCCTTTCCCTTTCCTTTCATTTCTTTCCTTATCAGTCAAGATCTCAAAACACCATGTCTCTACTATTGTGTCTCATCTTGGGGTCCCTCCAAACATCTGATTTCTCCCAGCCTTATAATTCATCATGAGAGAAAGGAGTAAAACTCCCAATATTGGCACATCTCTAGTCAGAATTTCTAGCCCCAGCTGGGCCTTCAAGCCACTCAGTCATCCTTTCCTATGATCCAGGTCATCTCTCTAATCCCATTGTGTGTAGACACCACATCTTCCTGATCCACTCATCTGTTTTGGGGCATTTAGGCTTATTCCATATCCTGGCTATTGGACATAGTGCTCCTATAAACATAGGACTGCAGGTTTCCTTTTGAATTGGTGCTTTTGTGTTCTTTGGGTAGATTCCTAGGATTGGAATCGCTGGGTCACATGGCAGATGGATTTGTAGTGTTTTCAGGAGGCTCCAACCATTTTCCATAATGGCTGGACCAGTTTACATTCCCACCTGCAGTGTGCCACATCTTCTTAATCCACGCATAGGTCCTCTCCCTATGTAACATCTCCTATTGGTTATGTTTTGCTGAAAGTCTTGATTAATACATAAAGTTCTTCATAGACACTTTATTTTTCAATTTAGTTGTGGGATCTCCACCATTTATTCTTTATCAATGCATTATTAACACAATAGAATGATCTTGGTGTGTTCAAACCAAGTTATTTTTCCTTCTGCACATCTTTTCATCACCATATGATTACCCCTGGTACATTCGGGGCATATCATATATGAGAAAGTACAGTCCAGTAACAACAAGAAAGTGATCATCCTCTCGGAGGTGTCAATCACCCAGGCCTGACCTGCATGGCATTGTAGGTAAACATAGTGTTTGCATCTGCATAGAAAGATCTACCATGGACCAAGTGCCACCTGATGCCAGAGGCTTGAGGCAGACACAGGACTCAGCAGAAGTGGAACATGAATCTCAGCTTTAGGTTAAGTGGTTCTTCCAACAACCTGCCTGTGATGCCGACATGGCTTTCTGAGGTGAAGTTATCACTTGAACTATATTTATCTCTGGTTCTCGCTCATTCATCTTACAACTTTTCTGAACTTTTACTCTCTTGATTGCCATTTTGCATGTCCTTGGAGATGATTGCAATCTGGGCTATCATGGCATTTCTGGAATATCCTTGTTATTTTCACAGTAAGCATGTTTCTGGAGCCTCTGATAAACCTCTATTTTCTGCCCATTGATATTGAAATTAAATTGCTGGCACCAGTTCTACAAAGTGTCCTGGTGCCCTTTATTAACTGGAGGCAATGTGACTAGCAAGAGAAGGATAGTGGAAGCTTTATTTTTTTCCCTAGGTTTGACTTCTGTAGTTGAAGAAACACTTGGTTCCACCAAACAGTCCTCAATAAATTCCTCCTTAACTGGCAGCAATGTGAGAATCACATTCTCATCTAGTTCTTCCTCAAGCATGTCTTTCTTACTGCTTTTGTAATTTGAACATGCCATTTCCAAGAATGCTCAGAGAAGAGCAAAGCTTGCAACTTTAAGGATATCTGCAGCTTAGTCTTTTCAACCTGAGGGATTCTCCCTTGATTTCTTGTTTTATAAATAAATGTCTCCTTTTACTTCCTGTTTCCCAGAAGACCTGTTTTCCTTCCTCTTCTTTTCCTTCCCTCATTATCTGTCTTGTAGGCACTTTTTATTAAGTTAAAGTAATGCCTCTCTATCGCTAACTTACTGAGAATATTTATCAAGAATGAAGCTGGCTTTTGTCAAATGCTTTTTGTGACAAATTGATATGATCATATGATTTTTGTTTCAGTCAACTGATATGATGGATTGCATTTTTTGACTTATGAATGATTAACAAGTTTCTACATCTGGAATGAATTCCACTTAGATATGATAT